GATGTTAGGAAGAATTTCTTCTCTTTTTTGTCAGCCACTGGAATAGGCTGCCCAGGGAGGTGGTTGAGTCCCCATCCCTGGATGTGTTTAAGAAAAGGGTGGATGTACTGCTTAGGGATATGGTTTAATGGGAGATTAGGGACGGTTGGACTGGATGATCTCTAAGGTCTTTTCCAACCTAGAAATCTATGAAAATTCTGCATTCAAGTATATTTATTTCAAACATGGTTACTGGCCTCCTCTATTCCTTACGAAGAAACTAGATCTGTTTTCTTACAGAAACACAATCTCTAAAATTCTGTATCCAAATGAAAAATGTTTGAGTTAAAGCTACAAGGACCAGTCATGCACATCTTTCTACAAGCAAATAATAAGCTGAATCCCTTGCATTTTCGTCCCAGTACTTCCTGAAGAGCAATATGTGTTTGCTTACCATTTTCGGAAATGCATAACTCTGTCTGAAATTCTGCCCCTTCCCTTTAGTATCATCTTATCTTCATAGACATAAATAGTTCCAAAGGCATTGCTTTCCGGTGGAGTTTCAATAACCCCCTCCAAAGTCAGATGATGAACTCCATGAGAGTCTAAACAATAGCCACCATCATGCAGGTGTCCTGCAAGAAAGCAGACCACGCACTGATGGGAGTGTATGACCGAAAGGGCGTCTTCATAATTCCATGCAAGGCAAACTCTGTTTGAAGCATCTGGATGAATGGGCACATGACCTGCAGTTGAGAGGGAAAGGAGCAGGAGAGTTACTTTAAGCATAACCAAACTCTCCCTTCTTTGCTGGGGAGTTCAGGCATCTAACTGTATACAGAAAGCTCACCTGAGTGTGAGAGCTGGTTACTATTCTACTTCACAGGTTACCTGTGTACCTCAGTGGAGCTACACAGCTGCTAAATGTTTTGCTCAGCTAACACACACTGGCTATATAACATTTTGTGCATACATCCCCATATATCTCCCGTACCCACCTACCCGTAACTATAACTTTTTCTTGGTTTTCGTCAGAGAACTTGAGGACTTCATTGAACCAGTCCAGCTGGGCTTGGCTAAATCCTCCGTTAAACTGTACAAACCAAGGTTCTTCAAGTCCTGCAACGAAGAAGGTTAGGCATAGGTTCATACACCTCTTGTGGCTTCCCTACTTGCTTGCCTTATGTCAGTCTGCTCACTCTTGTTTTTATTTGTTTTTTTTTTTTCATCTCTTGGATCAAAACTCCAGCCTTCTTGGAAAAACAAAATAAAATTGTTAGTGTTTTGGGGGGTTTTTGGTCATGCTGCACACTTAAGATTTCCACTCTTGGGTTCACCCCCCACCGGCATGGGATAGGTTGGGCATCAGCCAGCGCAGTAGCAGCTGCACCAACAGCCACCTTTGGTTCTGCTGAAGCAGGACACACAGCAAACATAAACCCATCCCAAAAGCACCGCAGTAGCACGATGGGTACGGAGGATCATCTCCTGCACCCACCTAGAGACCCAGGCTGGCTGTCAGCTCCCTG